ATAGAATAGAATAGAATAGAATAGAATAGAATAGAATAGAATAGAATTCTTTATTGGCAGATGTGATTGGACACACAAGGAATTTGTCTTTGGTGAATAAGCTCTTAGTATACATAAAAGCTGTAAGTGATAAATCATGATCATAGTCATCGTAAAAATACATTCATCATAAATCATAAGATTCAACACTTTAATAACCATAGGATACTAAATAAGCAGTCAGCATAAATCGTACTAGGAAACTAAACAAAGCAATATAAATCGTAAAGATACAGGCAACAAAGACTATGGTCATAAGTAGAAAAGGAGATAGGTAATAGAAAGGACGAGAAGAATAACGGTAATACAGCTTTATTAAATAGTTTGACAGTCTTGTGGCAATTACTTGTTTACTTCGTTCCCTAGGTAAAAGAGTGCCAGCTCAGCTTGGGGGGGTGGGGTGGGGGGTGGCCTTTGGCTTTTCTGTAAGTGGGTGGGACTTGAAAAGCTTTGAGCAGCCCGGCCCAGTTGGGAAAACTTGCGCAGCCCTGACCCGACTCTCTTTGTCCCGAGGTTAGGGCTGACCTCAACTTCCTGCCTTCTGTCTGGGCTGCTGGGAAGGCAGTGAGCTCAGAGAAAGAGAGGAGGGGGGAGTGCAGCCCTCTGTCTCATCAGGAGGGCTTCAGCATGGGAGGGAGGGAGGGTGGGAGGCAGGAAAGAAGGGAGGAAGATTAGAAGGAAGGAAAATGAGAAAGAGACAAAGAGGAGAAGGGAGGAAGATTAGAAGGAAGGAAAATGAGAAAGAGACAAAGAGGAGAAGGGAGGAAGATTAGAAGGAAGGAAAATGAGAAAGGCACAAAGAAAAGGAAGGAAGGAAGGAAGAGAAAGAAGGAAGGAAGAGAAGGAAGGAAGGAAGATTAGAAGGAAGGAAAATGAGAAAGACAAAGAGGAGAAGGAAGGAAGGAAGGAAGAAAGGAAGGAAGGAAGGAAGGGAGGAAGATTAGTAGGAAGGAAAATGAGAAAGGCACAAAGAGAAGGAAGGAAGGAAGGAAGGAAAGGGAAGGAAGGAAAAGGCTAAAGTAGCTAGCCCAGGCCAAACGCACTTCCTTTGGGCTGTCGGTGGGGGTGGGTGGGCAGGATGCCCTTTGATTCGGGCATCGCAGCTGGAGCGGAGAAGGCAGGGCTGTCGGTGAGCGGAGAGCGCCCCCTGGAGGGCCGTGTCTTTGAAGCAGGAGGCCAGCCTGTTGAACAACGGAAGGAGAGAGAGGCGGGAGGCTGGAAAGAGCTTGGACCAAAAGTCTCCGCTAGTGCTAAGCAAGTCCCGGAAAAACAGAGTTGTAACGTTGGGATGTATCTCCAAGCAGGCGGGAGACCTTCGACTTTGATGACGACTGCGACAGCTTGACTTGGGAGGAAAACGAAGACACCCTGCTCCTCTGGGAAGACTTTACCAACTGCAACCCCACCGTGGAGCTCCAAGGAGAGGTGAGGGGCACCCCGGCTCACCTCCCCCCAAACCACCACCACCCTGGCATCTGCCATCCAAGCACGGGACTCGGCTAAACGGCTTTTGTTCAGGGCCCCTTTTCCATAGAAGAACTGCTGTTTAATCAGGTCACAAAACGGAAGCTGTGTGCTCCGTCCCACAATTGGGTGGACCGGGTTGCCCTGATTTTAAAAAAACACTTAATATTTACCCTGGTACAGCCGATAAAGGGAGGGGAGCCCGTGGCTTAGAGGTTAATGCATCTACCTAATATGCAAGTAGCCCAGGTTCGAATCCCCGAAGGGTACGGCTAACTGGCAAGAGCTTAAATAGCTTGATTTAGATCTCTACTAGCCTCCCCTTTATTCCTTTATGTTGGTCAGACATAAATTTTTCGCGATCGGGTCATCTGTTTAAATATTAACCTCACTTCCCCAACAGACCCGACGCCCGTTTTCATTTGAGCTCTGCTTCCTTAACTCGTTGTTGAGTCCTAAAAGTCAGAGCCAAGCCAAACTCCCAAGGGCTCAGCCACCTTCAGCTTTGAGCCTCGCGGGACATTTTGAGAGTCCGGACTTGGCTGGGCTTGTTGGCAACGATGTTGAGAGGGAGGCGACCCCAGATTTGGTGCCTGTCCCTCCTCAGAAGGGCCGGCGGCTCCTTTCCAAAGGGATCCATGCAGGCTCGGAACCCACGGAAGCAGCCGAGGGGCGGATGGGGGAATCCTGCCCAGGAGGCTCCTTGGAAACCCGGTGGGCTGTCCTCGCTCACCTGCCTCTCTCGCCCCTTGGGGTCTCTTTCAGCAAGAGGAGAACCTGGGAAACCT